TCAAAATGAAAAAATGAAAATTTAAAAAAAAAAAAAATTTAAACCTTATCCATGAGCTCAACCATAAAAGCTTTACGTTTTTCATAACAAAATGTAAATGTTTAGAAATGTAAATAATATTATAAATTATAATAATTAATAATTTAAAAGTCATATAAATAAATTTTGGTCAAAAATAAGTTTGGTCATCTCTCAAAGTTTCAATTATGCATAAATTGAAATGAAAGAAGTAATTAATTGTAATTTCTGTCTATTATGATTATAGATCGAATTATACTAATAAGATATTTTTAACTTTTTAGTATTATATAATTTATACCTGACTAAATGAACAATGATTCATTTTAGAACGGCGTATAATTTATCTATGACGCCCAATTGATAAAGCTAGCAGTTTTTGGTCTTTAACGTGGCGTGGTATTAGGTATTATAGGCAAGAGATCAAGGACAAAATGACTTAGATAACATTATTATTAATAGATATACAAATATATGCATGACAAATGGTAAGAGTTATGAGTCATAATGGAAAATAACGATAAGTTTTAATTTGGGGCATTTTGACAAGATATTGTTGTTTTATTTAATCATTTATTTAGGATCTGATTCCTCTCCATTTCTCCCAAGTTCCTATTTGGATTAGTGACACATGTCATAGGTAAAATAAAGGAAATGGCTAAGATTTAATTTTCCAAAGTAAATTTTTAATCATAATTTAACTAATAAATACAATATATATTTAGTATTAAAAATTATTATAATCTCACAATCTTAGCAACATATTATCTTGTCCATAAATATAGGGGGAAAAAGTTCTTCCTAGTTACTTTTTTTTTTAAGTGGGATCTTTTTTAATTTTCTTTTAAATATTGAACTGCTCTCAAGTATAGCTAATGTTAATTTTGGAGGAAATAGAAAAAAAAAAAAGGTGAAATAAATAGGAAAAATAATACTCTTCAATAGCTAATGGTTAAAAAGAAAAATTCAAGGAAAAAATGCAATAAAAATATTAACTTAAAAATAAAATAAAATTAACATCCTAAGTAAAAAAATTAGGAAGAAAACTTTTTTTCCCCTAAATTTATGAATAAGATAATATGTTGTTAAGATTGTGGAGGTTATAGTAATTTTTAAAATTAAAAATATAATATATTTATTAGTTAAATCATGATTAGAGATTTACTTTGGGAAATTAAATCTTAGCCATTTATTTTAACCTATGCCATGTGTCATTAATCCAAATAGGAACTTGGGGAAAATGGAGAGAAGAGGATCCGGCTCCTATCCGTTTCTCTTCTCTCCATTTTCCCCAAGTTCCTATTTGGATTAATGACACATGACATAGGTTAAAATAAATGGTTGAGATTTAATTTCCCAAAGTAAATCTCTAACCATGATTTAATTAATAAATACATTATATATTAAGTATTAAAAATTATTATAATCTCACTATTTCAGCAACATATTATCTTGTCCATAAATATAGGAAAAAAAGTTCTCTTCCTAAATATATTTTTGTACGTAAGATCTTTTTTAATTTTCTTTTAAATAATTTTTTTATCGTAATTTTTTGTTAAAGGCATCTTGATCAGTGATTAATTAATTATCCTAGAGATAATCAAACCATTTTAATAAATTAATTTTAATTTCATAATAAGATTAAGGATGCGGTGATACAAGTACGTACAGTAGGTTAATTATGATTTCTATACTTCTATTCAGTTAATTATTCTTATAATTAGATAAAAGATTATTAAAGAAATTAAAAAAGATCTTACGTACAAAAAAATATTTAGGAGGAGAACTTTTTTTCCCTATATTTATGGACAAGATAATATGTTGCTAAAATAGTGAGATTATTGTTGGGTTATGAAGGTGAATATGGCGTCATGCGGAAACTTATAATTTGCAAATTATATGAGGATAAATTAGACGACACATAAAACTATACTAAAAGACATATTATTATTATATCATATGACCAATTGGCCCACATAATAAAAAACTAATTAAAAAACATTAAAACTGTAGAGAGTAAAAATCTCCCCATAAACAAAAGTCTCTAAACGACTACATTGTGGATTCTATTGTTATTGTGTTAGAAGAAACAAACCTCTATTTATAGAGTCCTAAAACCTTTCCTACTAGTAAAGGAGTCCTAAAAGGAGAGAATAAACCAAATATAAAATAATATTATATTTTCCTTTCAAGAAAAGTAAAACATTTATGGGTAATGTTTTGTTTTTTACTTTAAGGAAAAATAAATCTTAAATTATGGTAAGAAAATCAGGACAAAACCCTAACAATTATAATAATTTTTAATACTTAATATATAATGTATTTATTAATTAAATCATAGTTAGAGATTTACTTTGGGAAATTAAATCTTAACCATTTATCCTAACCTATGCCATGTGTCATTAATCCAAATAGAAACTTGGGGGAAATGGAGAGAAGAGAAATGGAGATCAGGAGCCGAATCCACAATTAAGGACTTTAAATTATAAGTGTAGTAATATTTAAGCAAAAAATATTTGTTTAGGAGATTGATATATGAGGAATTACCACAAGATAAATGAATTCCTTAATTTTCACAACTAAGATATTTTCTAAAAGCTACAAAGTGTATTCTTTTTGCCAATCCCAGCTATCGTATTGTAGTGGAAAATTGTGTCTATTCCAACATCTATAATGTTGTATTATATGTTATATTCTTTTTGCAATTAAGGACGTTTGTCGATTTTCTTTTAAAGTTGATTGATTTTTCTTTAAAAAATCATTAGAAAATCTATGCTTAGTTCGTCAATTTTTTTCAATCTATTTTCATATTTTTTTTAGTAGTGTATGTCTTTTATCTCTTAAAATAGGGTAAAAAACTTGTGTATACAACTTAAGTACCTTAATTACTTAAGTATTGTTGGACAAATTAATGATATTCAGACATCATATGCATCTGAACTAAATTTCTCGATCTACTCAATAAATAGAGTGCACATCTAACCTCTTGATGAGGTAACTAGGTGAAATTTATTGACGCCATCAACATTACTGACCTTATTGTTAGTATTTATGCTACATTAAAGGTTGATCTCTCTCTATTCATTAAATTTTTTAATAACATCAAATAAATGCACTAATTAAAAGATCTTGTATTCACAACAAATGCATTTGTAGGAACTGACTGAGTTCATGAATTTGCGACCTTTTGTGATGTGCACTATTTGTTCACTTCTTTGCCTGCAATTATGTCTCTTTGATAAAATTATACTTAATTAATATTAATGTGTTTTTCTTTAAAATATTATTTTGGGTTTTAGTGTCCAAAATAATAAAGCGATTTAACTGTTACAAAAATTATTATTAGATCAATATCAATTGTAACACCAACGCATGATCCAAGAACCTTTTCAATCAAAACATTTGTTTGTGCAGTGGAGAAGAGAGTCATTAACTCAAGTTTCATCGTAAATAAAATCACACTTGATTGATTTTCATTGCTTTATAATATAACGTCATTATAGAGCTTAAAATATAATTTGAAGGACGTGGACCTACTCTTGCACATATCTCCTCCATAATCAACGTCAATAATATTGAGGGGATATATTGGCTCAATACATCCCCTCAATTTCATGGCACAAAATCAAAAGTTACCTTATGATGTCTCATGATTTTTAAAAAATTACTTTCCAATATGTTGGGTTTAGGTTGACTAAATATTTGTTCACAAATCAATTGCGAAACAATTCATATTTTGTTTACAAATATTTTAAACAAAAATAAAAAATAAAAAAATTGGTCCACTTACTTTATGATTCTTTAAAAAGACTATTATGTCACAAACCCTTCGAGTAAAGTAGAAAATATTCATGACGTGCAACATTTCTAAGTCATACTTTTAACCAAAACATCCACTCTTCTTTTTGTTATTTTAATTTCCTTATCTTTTTAGATCTAACGTATTGACCTTTTAATATTTCGGTGATTCATAATATTTTATCCTTTTTATCTTTTCCAAAAAGCAAAACCAATACCTTTTAATATTTCGGTGATTCATAATATTTTATCCTTTTTACCTTTTCCAAAAAGCAAAAGGGTCTGTTCTTGAAATTTTACCGTAAAACCTAACATGTTTTATGAATTTTACATGTTTGAATCATTTATAGCTTGTGATTGAAAATAACATTTGATAAGTATTCTTGTCTAATAGTGAAAAATGGAAATCTTGAGATTAGAAGGCTTCGCTACACTTCCTAATTTCTCGAGTCTCATAAGCTACATCCTTACATTACAGAAAACATGAAATTAGTTATGAAATTAATGTATCGGCAATCCCCAATACATTGCTAAATAGCTCCTACCTAATTGAATATCTTATAATCTGTTGTTGATCCATACCTAAATGAGATTAAATTGATATAATTTTTTTTGTTATTTAGCTACAAAATTTTTACATTTGCTACAACACTACTATTGTTTTTGAACACGAGTTGGACTAGGCTGATCGGTAATAGATTGGGCCTAAGTGGTGTATTATAATTGGGCCTACGCAGGAGAATGGAGTCTGTTACAACTCCCTTTTCCTTTTTTTACGGAGTATAACTATAGTCCATATTACATTTAAAGTCGAAGTGGACGTTTGAACATAGAAAAGATTGTGAAATTTAAAAATAGTAAGTTGACTATTATTTTTTTTAAATTGGTGTTTATTTGCACATCAATATAAATTGTAGTTGGTTTTAATTTTTGTGAATGATTTGAAGTGAAAATTGTGAAAACAGTTCTCTCGAAAAAAGAAAAAAAAAGGAAGTGAAAAATACACTGTCAACGGACACTAAAGGCTCATTTGTTTGCATTTGATAGAGGTCTGAATGATTGATTAAGATTCAGCCCATTAAGTGTGTTTGGTTTTTAGGTATGAATTTGAATGATTCTAATTCAGCCCATTAAGTCCATTTGTTTCTTTTTTCAAAAAGCCTCTTAATGGACCTGAAAAGGTTTTAACGGATCATATCTGCAGGAGAGTCTTAACACCATTCAGACTTATTTAATAAGTTATAAAATAATATTGTATCGCCTCTCTCGGTCTTTGCGTGACTTTTGCTTTCTCAACTACAAACTTTCTTCCTCTCTTTTCTCAATCAAACACCTATTTTTTTCCTCTTGAACTGGTAAGTTTTCATAATCTTTACAAGTTATTTTTTTATATTAATAATTTTCTTAGGGTGTATTGATGTTTGTCAAGAACACTCGTTGCAATAATATTTTCAGCGTATTGACGTTCATCAAGGTTTTTGAGTGAAAAATACTATTCATAATGAAAAGTAATAACTATGTATACATATTTGAGGTCTCTTAGTAGAATTTTGTCTTAGGCCAATAATTTTATTGAGACTCTTTGATATATTATTGTTGTTGAACTAGTTGATGACAATAATAATGGAGCTCCTAATAATTCTACATCTCAATCTTCAGTTTCAGCTAGAAAAAAAAGTTTTGGAAAAGAAAAAAAAACTTATTCATCTGAATTGGAAATTGATGAGAAGATGATTACTATTCTGAAGTTATTGATTAAAAAAATAGAGCACCTACATTTGAAGAATATATGAAAAAATTAGATGGACTTGGATAGGAAGAGTCATTATACAGTACACGTGTTAGTATATTTTGTGAAAGTGTCCGCTACAAAAAAGCATGAATGACATTAGAGATTCACAAGTTAGAGAATTAGATTAAGGTTATTGGAAAAAAGATAAGAATTATTTATTTTTTCTAATTAGCCAAAATATATGTTAGGCGTTGATAATGTGATATCTTATATATTATTTTTCGACTAGTATCTATCATACTTATTGAACTTTTTGATATTATATTGTGCCTATAAAATATTTTTTATTCGTGATTTTTTTTTTATATTATGCTTGATGATTATGATTTTTTTTTAATCAAAAAGTAATATTTTTTGTTGAAATGAATTTTTTATAACATTTTATTAATATAATGTTTGATTTCATATGCACATTCAGATATTGAAAACAAACAATAATCATTCAGTGTTCAGATTTGGACCACATCTTAATATTCAGATATGTATTTAGATCTAGACACCTAGCTCTTAATGCAATCTTAATATTCAGACATGTATTCAGATTCAAATGTCTTAATTTTAATGAAAACAAATGAGGCCTAAGTTCCTCTATTTAATTCCCTTTATTTATGACTTTTAAGTCCATAAGTTAAGTGCTAACAAATATTTAAATTATACTATTATTGTATAGCATGTTAGAAAATGCTACGGACTAGTACAAAAGTATAACGACTTGCTATGAAATATATGACAACATTTTAAATTAAGTCACTTGAAAAGTTGAAATTTATGTACATACTAATGTTACTAGATCATCGACCATACATTCTATTGAAGGTGATAAGTGATAAGTAATCAGTCTCCTTTATTTTATTTAATAATTAATAGACATATCTATCTATATTTAGTTGAAAACTTGATTGATTAGTATAGTATAATAAGGAGTTGAATTTGGACTGATTAAATTTTAATTAATAAACTGATAAACTAAACTATGACAAATGGATAGGAAAGGGACCACTAAAACTATTCCAATGTGAGATATCGCAATAATATGATGGAATAATAGCTCTAAGTTGATATCATCTACTACAATTATTTTCGTGAGCATACATCATATATAGTATCACAACATTTGAAAATTGCCCTTTCTTTATACTTGACAACTGTATAAAATAGAAAATTACCTTTTTTTTTTTTTTTAACAAATAAAATAAAAATTTATTTAAAATATAATGAACAAGATGAAGAAAAATATAGTAAGCTAGAAGGGTAAAACAGTGAAAGTTCATTTGTTCATGATAACATGAATGACCAGTGAAGTTTGAAATTATTATCTAGTGTTTCTTTTAGTCGTAGGTCAGGTCTAGTTTGTTTCGTATTAATATCTCGATCATATTTAAAACTATTTTTGCCAATAATTCAAGCATGATATACTTTAATTTATGCACATCCGATTAGTTATATTGATCTCTAATTTGTCAAAGGCCACTATAGTAAAATATTGCGCAAGCAAAACCCAAGTACGGAAAAAGAAATGATTTGTTCATCATACATAAATGAAAGATTTATCGAAAACAATCTCACTCCCTTTCAAGGTAAGGTAAGGTCTATATACACGTCATTCTCCTCAGACCTCACTTATGAAATTACACTGGGTATGTTGTTATTATCCGCTCTGATTCCCATGGAAGAAAATCCCAAGTTTTCAAGAAATCATCTCCAGCATTAACATTATTGCAGTTAATGATCTCCTCAGCACTCTGCAGCCTGTGACTTAACTCAACCATCTGAGCTTTGAGAACAGAGTTCTGTGCTTCCATGTTCAAGTAAAGCTGATTAACCATATTTATGTTAATCACAATTTGATTATTTTCCTCCTTGAGTAGATTCATTTGAGCCAATAACACATCCAAATACTTGTGTTTCTTCATTCTTGATCTTCTTGCTGATTCCCTGTTCGATATCATTCTTTTACGTTTTCTTTCATCTTCAGTACCATACTTCTTCCTTAATAACCCTGGGGAAGTTCCATTTGAAGAAGCCATAACTTTCTATATATCACTCAGTATTCGAAACTCATTTGAAGAAACAGAGCATATAGGGAAAAAGATACTAATAAAAGCTGAAGAACTTAATAAGGAAGTTTAATTTATGTTCATGAAAACACATAGAACCAGTAAAGGAAGACTACAGAGAAGGATTGAACCAAGTGAGTACGTCGATGAAGAGTTGAGTTTACGATAAAACCAGACAGAAGAACTTCACTGATTACTGAAGACATAATGCATCAACAACCACATACAGGCTACAGCTATGCATCCACACAGAGAAAGAGACACAAGGCTAATTAAAACTTTAGTTTATGCATCAAATTTTAGAGGAATAGAAAGGAAAGCAGAGTTTCACAGTCTATAAGATGAAAAAGAGAAGGGAGAGGTTTTGTGTATAATTCTGGACATTTATTTATAGACACTCAATTTTGAATAAATAATATTTAAAGTGAAGCATCTAAAAGCAAATTACGTAAAGCTTTTTAAAAGATAGGGTTGGATATGAAAATTACAAAAAATGAGATAATGCACTTACATACACAGCACTTATTCTTATGATAGACAGCTCCTTGCACTAAACTTGTGATAATATCAGACCTTTTTAGAAAGGTGAAAAGTGCAAAGCTACCACGTCTCTTCGTTCATTTTCTCAAAAACTTACAATAATAGAATTCGGATACAACTACATATTTTCAAGAGCCCGTTGGGAGAAATGGAAAGAATTCAGACCACTTTGCAATAATACAATTCGTTTTCTTCTCTCTGTAAAACTGGACTAAGAAGCAATAGATAGAAATGTTAAACATACTATTTCAAGCAGAATATTCAATCTTTTGCAGTTATCATCTCAACAATGCAAAGACATTGTATTAGTTAATGTGAGGTATCCCAAGATCTGTGAGATTCAGCAAATGGAAGATGTCGATGATTACTCGTTTGATTAGAAGAAACCAATGACCCCTGATTGCTCATCAGTCTGAATCAGAATCAGGATTGATTGACGATCTCACTGATCTATTTCTATCATCATATGAATCATCATCCTCTTCTTCTTTCTTGTTCTCTTTGATTATTCCTGCACCAGAGATGGTTTAGTGATTGCCATAAGCTATGTATAAGAAATTCAGTGCTGGCACATGGGCAGGCAGGATATCGGTATAAAAAATAGGTTGGATAACAATGGATAACAAAATCCAACCCGCCAATATTTAATACGGATCAATTGACAGATAATACATTGGCCTATCAGCGATCATGCATCCAATTAAAAAGCATTACCTTTCTTTAACAGAAAACCCTCCAGAGCCTTTGTGCTGAAGTCATCTTTTCCTCCCAAATCTTGAAAACCAACCAGCCTATCTGAAGCTATTCCATTCCTGAAGAGCAAAATTCTGTTAAGTGTAGATTTGGGAAAGAACTAGTATAACTAACCAAACCCCCTACGGATGCATTGATTCTAATATTCACATGCATGTGTACGAATTTTGGAAGAATAGGTCTGGAATCATAAATAAGACTGCTCCCTTCCCTTTACCACAGTTTTGTTCAGGCAGTTATCATTAGGTCCTCATGTAACTATATGGAGTATATGTTTGTGAAGATCATGGTAGCTCCCCCCTCTAACTCACAGTAAAATTGGAAGAAAAAAAGAAAACAAGCAGAAACCAAGTTCAGAAAATCCACGCTAGCTCCCTTACAACAATGACGGACTGATATTTCACTTTCCCTGTGTGTGGGCCTGTTTTAACAGATCATTTGATCTATATTGTTGAGACAAATAAATTAGGACAATTTAGGTTCAATCTTATTGCTTGAAGAAACAAGCTAATTTAATCTTCTTGATTTGGCCTTGAAAACAACCAGAGAACCACCCAAACATGGACATATTATAGGAGAATTAATAACGCAGTGCAAAGCAGATGCACTAACCTGAAAAAGATGATGCATGGTAGAGTTTTAATTCCCAGCTTTGTAACAAAAAAGGGAGCATTCTGCCATTAGGTTATACAATAAAAATGAGTTATTAGCACGAAAATGAGATCCAATCTGCACAGTCCTCCAAAAGTTATAGAGCCAGTCTATGTGACTTTTTTGTTTTTTTAGTTTTTCTATGTTAACTTCCACGCATAGGTGGGCGCAGATACTTCACAAAATTTCAGGACTATTTCTACTGTATAATCTGATAAAGAATTGTCCAAGAACTCAAGCAAAACAGACCTCAGCATCTAACTTTAAGAACTTTGTATCAACATGTATTGGTGCAAGAGACTTCAAATGCTTATCCATGATCCTGAAAAAGCAACAAAGACCATTATGCTTGTGTATGCATGCAAGTGGATATGTACAATTCTATTTTTTTTTCCATTTCTAAGTATTTATAGCTAGATTAATATATGTTGAGGCGTCAATGCATCAAAATACAAAGACAAGCAAGAGAATTATCACAACTCGTCCAATAAAAAATTGGATGGCTAGTTAATCTTGGTAAAGCAGTCACAAGTGGTACCTTCAAGATGCAAATTTAGCAACGATATTAATGAATAGTGTCAAGCTTGTTGCATCAGATTACAAGTTGGAAGACTGAAGTGCGCGCTACCGACTCCAAAGCAACTCAAACTACAAATTTGCAGTATGTGAAATACCAGAATTTTTCAAACTGGGAAATTATACAAATCTCTCTCTTTCTCTCTCTCTCCCTCTCCCTCTCTTTCTCAAACACAGATAACATCAGAGAATAATAGGAACTACGATTGAGAAAGAACTTTCCTCTTATTAACTGCAATTGAGAAAGAACTGGAATTTATGTCTTTTACTTTTGTCTGGGAGAAGGACAGTGAACTTTGAAACATGAAGTAAGTCCTTACTTGCATCGGTAGAACTCTCGATGATAGAAGTGACAAATCACTTTCTCACTACCAGTAACTTCGCCCAAGAAATCTCCTTCAGTAATCTCTCTATATTCTCCATGCCCTTGCCTTTTTAAAGATTGTCGCTTCTCTGCTTCTTTCTGCAGAAGAGAGTTCAAAGAAACCAATTGTCTAACAATCAGGTACTTTGCCTCCAGATATAACTAACTACGTTGGCCTGCAGGCAAGACAAAATAACAGACCTTGAGAGCGGCAATCCTATCTGCATGCAACTTTTCCAGCTCAGGATCCTGTTAAAAGCACAATGAGCAAGTGAACAGGCATACAAATTATGTGCCTAGAAGGAGAAACATTGAAGGGTATGCAAACTTACATCCATTAGTTCATCAAGATCTATGTCTTGATTAACAGAAGATGATGCTTGCACCTTCTCTTGAGCCAGCACTTCCTAAAGGGAGAAATTGAATACAAATGATTTGTAGTTAAAAACTGTTAACTAAAACTGCTGGACCTTTTGAGGTATATTACAATGATCTATCAATCAATCTCAAATAATAAGTTATCCCAAAGGAATAGAAAGTAGCGTCAAAGGTTTAACTCCCCTGAAATGTTGAAAAACACCCCGTAACTGATAGGTCTTTTTCTTAAACTACTGGAGTATAACCAAACTTTCATCCAACATAGCTGGTCATGTCTGAATGACTCGCCAAACCATCTTAGCTTATCAAGAATAGTGATCTTAAACGGTTGCTATTTGGAGTATAGATATAAAAAAAAAACAGATAAACATAGTAATCATTCTCGATATTTCTCATCTAAGTATGAGTTTATCCTGAGACAGTAGGCATCATTAATCCAACCAGAAAATAAATGGCAGCTCCATGTCCAATGGCAAGTAAAGAAGATAAGCTTGATACACAGAAATGTATACTCCACATTATCATGCCATGAATGTAAAGAGATTCCAATCTCTAATAATTGTAGGAATAACCTAAGAAGGATGTAAAGATTACTGATTTTGACAATTTAGTAAGTGAACCTTCCATATTTTCCTTTTTTGAAATAGTGAAACCTCTTTTCATATTCTGTTGAAAAGAAATTATCTTAGTCTCATAGAAAAATGGTGCATGTGGATTTGGCTACACAATAATAAAATTACTAAAAGCTCCATCACAAACATCTGCATTATTTTTTGCATTTATAACATATTTTTGACTTCAGAGAGAATTGATTTCAATGCTTAGATAGCTATGATTATAATCAGAAAAAGAAAAAGAAAAATGTAGGGAAAACACATAGTATAGAATTTTAAGAATTCATTGTATCTTTTAACTACATACAACTTCACCTGTCTTATATGAATACCAAAAAATCCAAACTTTACAACAATAAAAACTATGCCTCAATTACAAACTAGTAGAGGTGGCTATATGAATCATTTATATCCATTCTGCTCTAATGGACACTTACAATTCTAAACTTTACTCTATTCCTACAAGTTAAAATCCAAACTGTACTCTGCAAAATGTTCCTTCGTCTACATGTGAAAAAGATTACTGTAACACCTTAAGCAAGACTCCATCGACTTCATGTTCCCAACAACAAAAAACCCCCATAATGATTTATTGTACAAACACTCTGTATTGAACTCTGAAAGACTTTATGAACCTGATCCAAGCCCTCCAAAACTATATGATGGACCAGCAAAAGATATTCTTTTACCACCATTTACATAAGTTGAAACAAAATACGAACTGAACAACAGAAACAGCAGACATGGAGAAATTCAATGAATCAACTCTGCATCGATCCCAAATAAGTTGGGATCAACTATATGAATTCTATGTATCTATTGTACTGTATTCAGGTCCATATAGTATCCAAATTCATTATAATTATAGTATTTATGTGTTGTCATCCACCTACCAGTATATTAGGCATTTGACCATATTTCATTGTGAAATTTGAAAAAAAGTACGGTTTTATTTTCAAAGAGAAAAAATAATGATATTTGAAAATTGCAAGTGTTTAGCATGATTTGTTGTTTTTCAAATTCTTGAAAATTCTGTTGTTCAACTTCAAGTTGAATTCCGCAATTTTATGGCCTCAGAGTTCAACTCCATGAAAAAGTGAAAAAAAAATCATGGCATGGAGCAATAACAGAAAGAAAATAAGAGAGATTCAAATGAGAAAAGAAGTAATACCTTCTGGTAATCACGAGCAGCAGCTGCCATTACATTTCCAAATGCCAAATTAGAGAGAGTCGATTTAACTGAATCTGGATCCATCCCTTCTCCTTTTCCACTTTCAGTAGAATTTAATGTAACCTAAATTCAATCAAAACAGACAAAAAAAAATGTGAATACAAAACAGAAAAATAGCAATTGAAATCAGTGGATCGACGTTTTCTGTAGTGAAAAACCTGTGAAAGGCGCGGATTTCAGATTGAACGAATCTGGGATTGTTGGAGGAAGATTAACAGAGAAATACAGGAGAAGAGGATGGGGAAAAGTGTAAAGATTTGAACTATTGATGAGGTAAAGATTGAACTTTTTTTTAATGGGGTTGAAAAAGATTTGATTAGGAATTTTTAAAACTAAATTAAATACTCTCTATGTGTCAATACAATATTTTAAAATTCAAATAACTCTATTCTTAATCCTAAATTTTTTATATATTATTCAAATATTTTGAATTGTTAACTCTTGTGACTCATAGTAAATATTTTTTACGTAACCTATAAATATATAAATTTCATTTTATAAACTTTGAAGATTATATGAGCAAATTTTTTATCAAACTTAAATTGTTTCATTCTAAAAAATAAATCAAATGCGTCACATAAATTAAGACAAAGACAATAATTATTACAATTTTTTAACCAATGCTATGGAAACATAAATTAAAAAGTAACTTTATTTTACATGTATGTTGAATTCCCACCTTTTTTAATAAAAAAAATATTAATTATATAATTCAAAAAAGGAATATATATATATAAAAATTAATCGAGTGTTGTTGTTATTTATTTTTTAGTTAAATTTATACTATTTCTTTCTTCTTCTTTTTTTTTTAATGTAAATGTGTTTGACAAAATACATAGATGGAGAGCATAATCTTTTTTCAGTTATAATTACTCTTTTAAACTTGTATTGTATGTAGAAATACTTCTATTTAATAGGAAAAACGAATTATATGACGACTTGTTATGAAATGCACTATTATGCTAGAGAAGGGAAGATATCATATTCAAGTCATTAGCATCAAGAATATGCTTCGTTTTATTCTTCATTGAATAAAATTAGAACTTATGTCTTCTTTCTTTTTGAATTTTATTTTGGATTGTTGAGTTTAGAATTTCTTTTAAAAGAGTAATTTGAAGAAAAAGTAGCGGAAAGAGAAAACTAATTAAAAATAACAATTTCATAGAGGCATGGATTTCACTAATATTAGTCGAAGATATTGTATAAAAATAGAAAGAGACTAAATCTAATAAATTTTTAAATACTTAAATCAATAAATATATATTAAAATAATCAAACATGACAAATTTTGAAATACTTAAAACTCTAGACAAGGGACTATTTGCAACATTTTCTCTAAAAAAATTTTGCTTTGATTTAGGGATTAAATAGCTGGAGGACCCAATGCATTCCATTATTCCGACAATTTTGGTATAAAAAAATAAAATAAGACACAAGTACCTCCCTAGATTATGATCAAAATTTCAGACACATCTTAACTAAACTAAGGTCTTATTACTTCGAATTCATTTTTTTGTAATTTTGTATGCCTTTTGATTTACGTGGCACACTCCATGACTCCACGTAGTTGATTTGCGTGAGAAATATTTGGATGCCACGTAAGCCAAAAAAATATACAAAATTATATAAAAAAATGAGTTCGTAGTAATAAAACTTTAGTTTAATTAAAATTTTGATCATAATATAAGGGCTATGTGGCTTATCCCATAAAAAAAGGGGATATTTTTTATAAACTAAATATCATTGTTAATTTGTTATTATAGGTAGATTACACTACTTTTTTGTGTCTCCACCAGAAAATTTTCCCCATAATATATAGAGTTCCCATCTTTTTGTTCACTCACAATTTTGGCCTTGAAAGTGAAGGCTACTAAGTTAACTGTGGAGCTTTATTAAATTAGCAGCCCGAATCTCGAAGCTCCAACGATGCCACAGAGAAAGAAGAAGTATGTTCAAATCTGCAAAGGTAGATGTTTTTATCTATTTTTTTGATTTTCCATTCCGTGTCCGATACCAGTATTAGAGCCCCTTCTTTTATCTATGGTTCAAAATTGGGCGTAAACACAATTTTGAATTTGCAGAGGAAAGTCAGACAAAGAAAAGAAAGCTGATGGATGATGATCATCATCAGGTAAGTTTGCTTTGATTTCACTTGCGCTTAATTTGATCGGGTTTTGTTGTTAGATTGAAAGAGTTTACATCTCAAACCCTTGTCTTATCTAGGCCATGACAATGCACTTCCAAGATGAAATTATTATATCTGTACGGTCTATTCTGCGATTTAAATGTGTTTCAAAATTATGGAAGACAATAATCTGTGAACCTTACTTTAAGATGAAAAATCAAAGACATGCGATGAATTTCAAAAAGATTCTTCTTGGCCAATGGTGCTACCAGCGGCGGACCCACATGCATCCGTGATGTTGCACGTGCACCCGATAACTTTTAATTTTTTTGTATATATATATATATATATATATAGATAGTCTATAAAAAGATAATATATTTAAATGTGCACCTAAATAAGCAAAAATGATCTTGGTGTGGTTGGTCAGAGGCTGAACATTAGAGCTCAATGTCTTGAGTTTGAATCTCTGAGAGTGTTGTCATTTTTTTTGCCTTTAAAAATCAGCCTTCTCTCAACGGTTAATCCCTTGTGCGGTAACTTCATATTTTGGGTTCGCCTCTGGGTGTTACAATGATACAAATAAATCTCATACTAGTTGTACTCCTTTTTAATCGGCTCAACTAGTTGAGGACGTAGAAGAACTTGTTTGTCCTGGAAACCAGAACCATCAAGGTACAAAAAAGTGCTCATAAAAAAAGTGTTCAAAGTGTGTTGTTCTTGCAATGGGTTGGTTCTTCTCTTAATTGATGGATATCTTTTGCTTTGAACCCTTCCACGAGAGAATCAATAGAACTTCCATATTCAAAAACTAAAAAAGGGTTGCCTACTTTCGGATTGGGATATGACACAACTAATGATGACTACAAGATCCTTAAGTTTCACCGTGCTTACATGGAAATTCTAACACTAAAAAGTGGTTGTTGGAGAAATATATTATATAATAGAATTGACTCACTTCCTATGTATAGAATTACTCATGATCCTTTTGCATTTATATATGGAGCATTTCATTGGGTCGGTTTCCACAATAAACCTTGTGTAGTTTCGCTTAGTATTTCAAATGAGGTGTGCGGAAAGATACGCAATGAGAAAAATGTTTGATGATCAGATTTGCAAATATGGAGTTGCAGTATTAAGAGAAATGCTTTGCTTTTATTATGCTCATATTTTTTCCGAGGAGACTACTTGTAAGTTATGGGTAATGAAGGAGTATTATATCGAGGAATCTTGGATTCAATTGTATACTATACAAGAGACATGTATGACTTTAAAAAGACCGCTACATATGTTTGACAATGGTGAACTGCTACTCAGCTACGAACACCATCCACTTAGGACATCCAAAGTACCATTTGGATTAGGCTGCATCGTGCCATTCAACAAGCAATTACTTATTTAGAAAGTGTGATCTCTCCAAAATTACTTATTTAGTGTGTGATTGATTACATATAATCAAGACATCCTTTTACTTTTTTTTGTTTTTGATTATTATGTGACAGAAGATTTTTATTTTGATGATTTTATCTATTGTTTACTAATTTTTATTTTTCAAAATGTCAGTTTTCTTATTTCATGTTATGAGAGAATCGACATGGTGATGCACAACCATAGACTTCATTAATCAATAGAAATGATCTTTGCCCAAAGTTAAATAAAAACCTCACTAATTTAGGATCTAATTACTTAGATATACACTACGTTGCAATATTACGTATCTTACTAAATTTTGGTGTTTCCAGATACGTTCAAATACATGTATTTCAGATACATGAGGTCAATTTTAGGTGTAATTTGTTTTACATATATTGTATCAAAGTGGATTCGTATGTATCTGAGATATATAGAAAATCTCGCTCGCCACTCTCTCATGTAATTGGTATCTCATATGTGAATTGCTCTAGATACATACGAATACATGTATCTAGTGTGATTCACATAGAAAGTCTCGCTCGCCTCCCTCCCCAATCTCGCTTGCCTCTATCCCTATTTTTGTGTATCTGGTAGCAAAAATACATATATCTAAGTGTAAGATACGTATGAAACTCTTAATTAGTGGTAAGATATATAATATTTTGAAAGTATAGGTAATAATAATATATATGGTAGTGAAATGTGTCTAATTATGTAGTTTTTCCTATAATATATAATGGTGAAAACAACTAATCTAATTAAAAATTGACTTCTAAATGAAAGGTTACAACTAAGAAAACCAGAAACCTGCATTTAGAATTGTATTTTTTTGTTGTTGCTTATCTAAGTGTTATTAAAATTTGTTATTAAATTGTAATGTTAATCGAATAGGAATGCACACTTGGGTGAGGGGGAGTGAGAAGTTAGGCTAACTGACGAGCGCCAAAACACAATATAAATTGAGTGATTCCCTAGTCAAAGACAGTATAGTATTATAGCTCGTTTCCATATAAGTTGGTACGAATAGTGAATCGAACAAAATCTTGTTACGTATTATCCAAATATTGACATGTTAGGTAGAGCCAACTCTCTTTGTGGCTTTAACTTCTCATTTAGTAATCTTTTTTTCTTGTAAGTTTTGTTCAATTCCTTTTTCATCACTTTCCTTCTTCTCATTTGTCTCCAATTCTGTTGCCTCTACTTTCTTAGACTTGGCTTCTTCCTTTTCCTTAATCTTAACGTGTAGAAAACTAATTAAGCCATTAAGTGAAACATCAACCTCATCTTCCTTCAACAGCTGCTCAGCCACTTCGGCTGGCGTCACCATCGCAGTTTCTATGAGCTCTTCAATTTGTTTGAACAATTTGTGCTCTCTAGTGTCCAGGTAATTAGCAGCAAGAAGTCTGAAGCCACTGGGAGTACAATATGACAAATGAATGTGCATGTCCATCCTCCCGGGCCTTAACAATGCAGGGTCAAGCTTTTCTACGTGATTTGTTGTGAAAATTATGATCCTTTCGTCACCACAGCTCGACCATAATCCATCGATGAAATTCAATAAACCAGATAATGTCACCTACAATGGTAAAAAAACAGAAAACAGACATTCTTCATTCTATTTCTTGCAGTACACTTGTTTTATTATGTCTACAACTACCTAATCAATATTTCTCGTATGAACATTCAACTAATAGTTATTATCTCAGAAAGTCATTTTTCTTCTTGATTCCTATTTTCTTCAATGAAAAAAGTGATTTTATGAGATAATAGCTAGTAGTTGAGTGACTATCTGAAAAATCAAATCTGTCATCAAGTTTCCTCAAAGCTTAATATGCTGGAAGCGAAATGCTTTTAAAGTAAGACAAGGAAAAACAAGCTAAAATCAAAGGGACTTACCTTGGTTTCTTGTTGATTAGAACCATCTGGAGGAGAATCATTAGTTCGATTAGCCAAATTATTTTGCAAATCAATGGTACAGTCAATGTCTTCGACCACCAAGATGGACTTGTTAGCCGTGGCCACAAGCAGCCGTCTTAAATCAGAGTTTCTCACCACCTCAGTCAACTCCAAATCATATATATCAAAGTTCAAATAATTAGCCATGGCGGCGACCAAACTGGATTTTCCTGTCCCTGGAGGGCCATACATCAAGTACCCTCTTTTCCACGCTTTGCCTACTTTCCTATAATAATCTTTTCTCTTCACAAATCTGTCTAAATCCTTTACAATTTTGTCTTTCAGCTCTGAGTCCATTGCCAGAGTCTCAAAGGTTGCCGGGTGATCAAGATTAATCGCCTCCCATATATCATGTAAATTATAAATGCTTTGGTAATCCACAGTGTGAATCTTGATTGCCCTGTTCTCAAGTTTTTTCAGTTTTGCTTCTTCTATGATGTAAGGCAAGTATGAATTAAGGACAAGGTCCTTGTTTTTCTTGTGAAATGTGAGCTCAAAGGATCTGACCTCAGATCTTAAAGTGGAATTCATGCTTCTAGGATTATAAAAGTCTCTAGATTCTACTTTTTTGCTAAGCCAAATCCACTGGAATTTCTGCCCACTGTAAACATCTGTCACCTCCTCGTCCCGTTCCAATGTTATGTTGAATTGTTTCTCCTTCTCAGGCTTGCTGATTTTGACTCGCCTGGTGTTGGTTGACAACTTGTTACCCAAGTACATTTCAGCTGCTTCGTAGATTTCATTGTTGACCAAGCCATCAAATTCGTCAATTACCATTGTTAGCTGATTTGAGAACCTGCTGAAGAGGTTTTTGAGGCCAAAGAAGAGATAATCATACAATTCTGGCGGCAGCAACTCATTTGCAACGGTCCGAACAACCATGGTTGTTGCAGCAACAGAGCCTACTGTAGATAAGACGATCTTGGCAAGTGCCATTTTCGATTCTGCAGAAGAAGACATGTTCCCAAAGAGGAACGTGTCACTCTGTGGCTGAGGATATTCAAGATTTTGTTATTGACGTTGAGGGTGCAGGAGGGGGAAAGCTGGTTTGATGGGATGTAAGCAATGGCTAAAGGGGAAGTGTTAATTTATAGTATAAAAAATAAAAAAATAAAAAAGATGTGAAAAAAACAAAACGTGTGAAGACTTTTGGAACCGTGGAGAGACTGGGTGGACTTTGAAGATTCTACATATCCCCATTCACATTTTAATAAGGAAGTTTTCCAATATGCCAACTCGAGTATCGCCATTTTAACATAAGAAAAATGAGAAACTGCAGCGAAGTTTCTGCTACCGTCCACCATTTCAAGTCAGGATAAGGTACCAGAGTAGAGCAAGAGGCGGATGGATTCATAATTTAATAGCTATTGGTTCAACATACTTAAGTTTTAATATTAGGGTAGGTACATACTATTTGTTGCAACTTAAGTGAATTTTGTACACATGAATGAAATAGGGTTTAGATGATCACGAACCTAGTGCCGCAACACTACATCTGGTACCCGAAGGTAGAGTTGACTACTGCATGCAGAACACTAAATCGGTGACAAACTTAGAAATTGTAAGTAGTTGAAGCCTGAAGGCCAAGGGTGCTCCGATGTAGGAGAATTTCCCATCTACCATGAAAACATACTAAAACTGAAAAAAAAAAATATTATGGAAGAGGGAGGATAATTATACGTTACTCAATGGAAACGAACATAACGAAACTTCATGCAGTCCATGCTGCAGAGGGAGTCACATTCAACCAATGTAAAAGGTTGACGACAAAAAGATCATGGATAACTTGTTGAAATTGATATCATATGGACAGATAACAACTGCAGCTGCAGTGCTGTAGTGTTTCAAGTTGCTAGATGAGTACAGAGGAGCCCGGGACATGATCAGAATAACTATCTGTCCATCCATGTGTACTTCCCTTTGTCTGAAGATTAATAAGAACTTGAATATAAAGAAAGATAATTTGCCCTTGTGAATGTGTAAAATATAATTGGAGAAAACTTCATTGGCATATTAACACAACATTCAAACAAAAAAGAGCTAATGCTTATGATCTGCATCATTAATCTCAGAGGGAGAGGGGCAGCTTGGTGCACTAAAGCTCCCGCTATGCCAAGGGTCCGGGGAAGGGCGTGACCCCAAGGGCCTATTGTATGCATCATCAATCTCAGGTTACTATAAATTTCTTTCAAAAGTCAAGAGACCGAGAGTAATATATAAAGAAAGAGGTGAAGATCATACATATAGGTTCGGACATTTAAAGAACCTAAATCCACTGCATCTCACTCCATAGAAATAGACTTGTACTGCTGGACAGTTGCAGTTATAGCTTGCTCAACTGGTAGTCTTTCCATGCTTGAAGCGCCATAAAATCCATGAACTCCTCTGGTTCTCTTCAGTACATATGCTGCTTCTTCAGGGGAAGATATAGGGCCTGCAAATAGAGCAAAGATTCTTCGCTTTAGCGACATAAATAAATCACAAGGAGAAGAAAAGAACGTGTCGTCATAATAAACACTAAAGAATTGACGATACAAAAAACATGTCAAGCAGAAAATAAACTTCCTCCAATGTTATCTTACTCAGATAAATGAAAAATTATAACTACAAGTATTTGTTTGACAACTTAAAATTTTGTTCCAAATTAGACTTCGTGGATTGTCCGTCAGAAAAAGAACATTATTGCTTTTGAACAATATTTAAATGTCAAGAAGAATGCTGGGTTACAAAATGATAGTAACTGCCATTATCTACTTAAGAAGCAAATATATAATGTTAGAAAAAAAAATGTCATGGATATACTTAAAAAAAAGAGAAAAAGATACAACAAAAGAGAACAGCCTCATTCATTGCCTGAATTAGATCGGACTTTCATTTAGAGTGAAAATTACGCCGTAAGTATCTATTGTCATCCATCATAAAACAATATTTTCTCTTGCTAGGGAAAGCAAAATAAATGTTTGAATCATACAATTTTCTAGTTATAATAAAGCAAATAAAAACATAAGTTACCCTTATCTCAAAAAAAAAAAAAGCAAATAAAAACACTCTCATTGTTTCATAAAGAATTTGAATGTACATATCAGGACCCAGAAAAGCACAAATTCAAAGGAGTACCAAGAACT